GCAGAGTCTCGTTCGGGGAGAAATGACCAACCCGATCTCGTTTATACGGGTTATACGGGCATTTTTGGCTGAGCCTACGGGCTCGGGAAACCCACGATAAACTCGGCCTTGTGCCACATGCAACCCTCGTAAGGGGGGGGCTAGATACCGTATCATAGATTCGAGGGGAGGGACTGTATCATAGACACGGTGGGGCACGAGACGCATGCATCGGTCCTATACACACAGACAGACACACACACATATATATATAAGATCTATTGCTATGTTTTTCAAACTTTTTTAACACGCGGCTTACTTAAATGATGATGATAACAATAAAGATTTAAAAAGTAGTATACTTTTTATGATTTATATGATTTTATATGTATTATTGTATGATTATTTATTATATATTTATTATTTATTTATATATTTATTTATTATTTATATATTATTTATTATATGATCATATATATATATATATATATATATATATATATAAGATCTATTGCTATGTTTTTCAAACTTTTTTATCCTGCGCATACTTAAATAATGATGATAAAAAAAAAGATTAAAAAAGGAGTATGTTTTTAATGATTTATTTAATAACACAAACAAACCAAAATTATTAGAAATTTTAATCATTTCACTCCAAGCAAGGCGTTAATGCTACTAAGACACTACCTACATGTTACTGAGGGTGGAAAAGAATGAAAAAACTTGAGTGAGAAGAAAGGACAATAAAGGAACAGGTTTCAGGAAGGCAGAAGGCCTCGATTAACGTTGAATTTAAATTTTGAAAGATTATAGGTGATAGGGATGCAAGAAATCGGAAGAGAGTTCCACAGGCCAGAAGTGCGAGGAAAGAAACTATCATAATAGGACTTACGGTTGCATCTAGCTAATTCAACATTAAAACGATGAGAGCTAGGCACGCTTAAATTCATGCGATCGAAGTAGCAAGGAGGAGAGGTCATTAAAACACTTGCCATTTATATTTATAGAAAAGACAGAGCCAATTGCCACATCGCCATGGTGGGAAAATGACTGAAGTCGAGATGCCAGGTCAGGATGGATAATATTACAGACCCTTCTCTGAATTTTATCGGGAATGTCAAGATATATAGATGGAGCACCAGGCCAGATAAGGCAGCAATATTCAATATGGTAGATTTATAACGTGCAAGATGGATTCTGACGAGAAAGATTGTCTAGCATGACACAGTAAACCAAATTCCTAGCAGCAGACTTAACAATTGATTCAATATAATCACTCCACTTAGTGGAAAACTTGAGGCTAAGTAGAGATGCCAGGTCAGGGTTGATAACATTACAGACCCTTCTTTGGATTTTGTCGAGGATCTCGAGTTATATAGCCGTAGGAGCAGGCAAGGTATGACAGCAGTATTCCATGAGCGGGCAGATTTATAAATGTGCAAGATGGACTCCGATAAAAAAAAATGTCTGGCATGACACAGTGAATCATTCTTCTTAGCAACACCATCAGTTTTAGCTTTGGTCTCGTCTCGTTTTCTTCACAAGATGCAACGAGACGCGGTGAGTTGAGCATTTCCGCCAATTTTCGATATAAACAATTCATGTACACTGATCAAGGCATTTTTTTTTTTTGCTTTGCTATACATGAATAGCGAACTTAGAAAAAAAGTGCTGGATCATGTAAAAAGGTTGAAAGACATGCAAATTGATTGTAGAATTGAAACCATTCAGACGATACCATTACATTTCTGGAGTAATGGACAGACTTGCTGTAATTTGATTTTTAGAGAAGGCTGTTAACTTTTCATACCATGTCCCCCCAGGACGCTGGCCTCTCCACTGATCCCTTTTCTTTATTATCTGTGAATTGCTATGACTTCGTGGGAAACATAGTGGAGTGGTATCCCGTTGCGTTCTCCACAGATTCCTTTTCTTTATTATCTGTGAATTGCTACGAATTCTTGGGAAATATAGTGGAGTAGTTTCCCGTTGGCTTCTCCACGGATCCCTTTTCTTTATTATCTGTGAATTAATTGCTATGCATCCATGGAAATATAGTGGAGTGGTTTCCCGTTGCTTGCTTTCTCCACGGTTTGAATTTCATAGCTGTCCTCCAACTAGAATATTTCTCACCCAATTCTAAATAATACAATCTAGCTCACTCTTTAATCCATAGTTGGGGAAAGGAGAAATGGATTCATGTCTTTCCCAAGTGTATTAATGCGAAAGTGATCGAAGCAGACGAGAATGGGGCTTGAACTCTGCTCGCGGACTTCCCCTAACCGTTGAACTAGTCAACAAACTGCTAGATAATAGAAATCTGGAAAGTAAGATCTATTAAAATGTTTTTCAATCTTTATTATCATAAATTATGATGATAAAAATGTGCAAACTTTATGTTTTATTTATGAAAACAGAAAAACAATTTATTATAATTTGTAATCAAAAGATAATAATTAAAATTCTTTAAAAAAACTTTATTTTTCTGTTTATTATAATTTTACATATAATGATAAATCTGCGCTTGACCTTTTCAAAGAAGATATATTGTAACGGTGTAGTAACAATTCGGACTGAGGAACCGGAGAGCGGAGTTCGAATTCCAGTCGAATCCATTACATTCACTTACGTGTTAATACCCTTAGGAAACTTATGAATCCTCTCTTTCTCCCGGTTATGAGTAAATAGCAGGACAGACCGGGTTCTATAGCCTTAGATGGCATCTGGTCTACCGCAGAAAGAAATGGCAACCAACTGCGGGAAAAAAAATCTGCTTCAAAAGATACATGATCGCCTAAACGTGTATTACGTATGGCACATAACTGACTACAGACCGGGTTCTATAGCTTTGGATGGCATCCCGTATACGGCAAAAAGAAATGGCAACCTATTGCGGGAAAAAAAATCTGCCTCGAACGATACATGATCGTCTAAATGTGTATTACGTATGGCACATAACTGACTACAGACCGGGTTCTATAGCTTTGGATGGCATCCGGTATATGGCAAAAAGAAATGGCAACCAACTGCGGGAAAAAAATCTGCCTCGAAAGATACATGATCGCCTAAATGTGTATTACGTATGGTACATAACTGACTACAGACCGAGTTCTATAGCTTTGGATGGCATCCGGTATACGGCAAAAAGAAATGGCAACCTATTGCGGGAAAAAGATCTGCCTCGAACGATACATGATCGCTTAAATGTGTATTACGTATGGCACATAACTGACTACAGACCGGGTTCTATAGCTTTGGATGGCATCCGGTATACGGCAAAAAGAAATGGCAACCTATTGCGGGAAAAAAATCTGCCTCGAACGATACATGATCGTCTAAATGTGTATTACGTATGGCACATAACTGACTACAGACCGGGTTCTATAGCTTTGGATGGCATCCGGTATACGGCAAAAAGAAATGGCAACCTATTGCGGGAAAAAAATCTGCCTCGAACGATACATGATCGTCTAAATGTGTATTACGTATGGCACATAACTGACTACAGACCGGGTTCTATAGCTTTGGATGGCATCCGGTATATGGCAAAAAGAAATGGCAACCAACTGCGGGAAAAAAATCTGCCTCGAAAGATACATGATTGCCTAAATGTGTATTACGTATGGTACATAACTGACTACAGACCGGGTTCTATAGCTTTGGATGGCATCCGGTATACGGCAAAAAGAAATGGCAACCTATTGCGGGAAAAAGATCTGCCTCGAACGATACATGATCGCTTAAATGTGTATTACGTATGGCACATAACTGACTACAGACCGGGTTCTATAGCTTTGGATGGCATCCGGTATACGGCAAAAAAGAAATGGCAACCTATTGCGGAAAAAAATCTGCCTCGAACGATACATGATCGTCTAAATGTGTATTACGTATGGCACATAACTGACTACAGACCGGGTTCTATAGCTTTGGATGGCATCCGGTATACGGCAAAAAGAAATGGCAACCTATTGCGGGAAAAAAAATCTGCCTCGAACGATACATGATCGTCTAAATGTGTATTACGTATGGCACATAACTGACTACAGACCGGGTTCTATAGCTTTGGATGGCATCCGGTATACGGCAAAAAAAGAAATGGCAACCTATTGCGGGAAAAAAAAATCTGCCTCGAACGATACATGATCGTCTAAATGTGTATTACGTATGGCACATAACTGACTACAGACCGGGTTCTATAGCTTTGGATGGCATCCGGTATACCGCAAAAAGAAATGGCAACCTATTGCGGGAAAAAAAACTGCCTCGAAAGATAGATGATCGCCTAAACGTGTATTACGCATGGCACTTAACTGATATTGTAATGGTCAACCAGATGAGCTCTCTAACAATTGCCTAATACTGACGCACCCTCTAGAAAGAATAAAAAAATATCTTTGTATCATTTGACGCATTTGTAGTAAAGACCGGGGAGACTATGTTCTCTAACTTCGGGTGACAGCCACTCTAAAGAAAAGAGGACTCTGATGACAAAACTGTGGACAAGGTAACGGGAAACCACTTTACTATTTTCCCCAATAAATCTACCAGGTCATTAAGGAGGGGGGCTTAGAAATCTTTTTTTTTTCTACAACCAGCTAAAGACATAAAAGTTTCTGTAGCTTCAATCTTCATGTGTTGGCCTTTGAATCTGCCATGATTTTTGTGGGGCAGGGCGGGGGAGGGGTATTGAAATACCTGCACTGTTTTTGGCGCATCCCTGATAGTTTGTGTGTCAGCTTATAGGATATTGATTTTGTATACATTTCTTTACTGTCCTACTTAAGGGAACGAAGGAAGCAAGATGAACAGTACAGTCGATGCTATTTATAGACAATTTCCCTGAACCTTAGCTGCATTCCAAATAAAACAGACAACAGAAATTACTACTCATACTACTACTACAATTGCGACTTCGTTAAAGTTACCAAGGCAACCACTACCAAGATCATTTTATTTTACTACGTGACTATGAGAGCAAAATGAATGGAAAGTGATTCTAGTGTTGGGCAAGCCGAAGTTTAATGCTGACTAATAGATAGATAGATAGATAGATAGATAGATAGATAGATAGACAATGAACAGACTACGATAGATAAATAGATAGATAATGAACAGTCTTTAGATAGATAGATAGATAGATAGATAGATAGATAGATAGTGAACAGAGTGATAGATACATTGATAGACTGATAATGAACAGACTGAGATAGATAGATAGACAGAAAGACACATGCATACAGCCATAAATTATACATACATACATACATAAATAAAATCCATATTTGAGTAGACTCCCGTTTATTTTTTAAACAGTATATTTATTTTTGTCTATTAGCCTGAATATTCTAGAAACCTTATTAAAGAAACCTTGCTTAAGCGACGACGCTCCAAGTTGGTTAAAAAAAAAGAACGTCGAATTTAAGGAAGTTTTCTTCTGTAAAGAGAGACACAAGTTCGAATCCTACCGGAGGGGGCACTTTTTTTAAATAAGATTTCTCGAATATAGATAGATTCTGTTTCTATCATTCTCAACTATACATCTCTTTCTCTCTATCTCAGTCTATTTCTATCTATCTAGAGAGTGAGATATCGTATACGTATAGACATGAATAGCCTGAGATATTATATATACAGTGTAACCCGGATATAAGAGAGTTGTCGGGACCGGAGAAGAAGTCTCTTATATCCGGGTTTCTCTTATATCCGGGTTTGGTCTATTTTATATACATTAAGACAGGCTCTAATTCGGACCAGAGAAAATCTCTCTTATATCCGGGTTTCTCTTATATCCGGGTTACACTGTATATATATATATATATATATATATGAACAGAATATTGCATAGATATCAATATACTGATATATTGAGACATTGTAGAGATAGATAGATAGATAGATAGATAGATAGATATGATTGGATTGAGATATATAGATAGATAGATAGATAGATAGATATGATTGGATTGAGATAGATAGATAGATAGATAGATAGATAGATATGATTGGATTGAGATAGATAGATAGATAGATAGATAGATAGATAGATAGATAGATATGATTGGATTGAGATAGATAGATAGATAGATAGATAGATAGATAGATAGATAGATAGATAGATAGATAGATATTTACTAAATAAATTTCGTTTAAGACAATGGTGAGGGCGAAAATCCCTATTAACAACTTTAGATGCATCACACTGGATTGATATACATGCATATAACGTATATGATAGCATGTAGCTACACACATTGAAACTATTAGTCTGTCCAGAAAATAAGGTCCGATTTTAGAAAAAAAAAAACTTTTGAGTTCTAATATATATTTGCACGAAAATATATAACTCATTCGTAATGATTAAACTGTCCTCTTTTTTTAATTTTATGTCAATCTCTTTCAGAATTTAACTCAAAATATTATAGAGCCTTCATCTTGAATATAAAATAAAAAGAAAGAGTTGTGTTTACTTTTTACATAAGTTCAAGCTTGGTCATAATGCTTCTCAAACAGCTGCCAACATTAACAGAGCGATGAAGGACGCACTTGTGATCGGACAGTATGTCGATGGTTTCTGAAGTTCCACAGTGGGGATACGAGTCTTGAAGATCAAGATGGTAGAAAACGCCTACATGTACTCGACCTGACTCCACACGCATACACGTTTGTAGGCTACTTCCTTATTGCTCGAGCCAACAATTTCTTCAATTCTTTTATGTTGAATCATAAATAATTTCCGTTTTTTAATCAATTTTATTTTTCAAAAAATAAAATACAATTACATTTTATTCAATTTTATATTCACCATAACTTCTTGCCACATATTATTGCTACTTCGATACCTTCTGAAGAAAATTTTGCAAATTTTGATATGAAAACTTTTTCGACAAAGTCTTGAATCAATTAGAGAATTTCTCGCAATCAAAGCGTTTGGCAGCAATCAAAAAAGAGTAATAATCGTTGGTGCAAGGTCAGATGAATATGGCGGATAAGGGAAGAAAATGCAGGCCTCCTCTCAATAAATTCGGGTTTTCTTTTTTTTTTATCAGAACGATCGGAGTGAGCTTTCCGAGATGCCGTACCTTCGTGATCACCATTAGACTCATCCAACTCTTTCTGAATCCTCTGCACTGTTCTCAGATTGACACCCAAACACACTGAAATGTTCATATTGGAGCTTCCGGGGCGAATGCCAAACAGTACAGCATGTTTCCAAATTTCTGGCGGAGTGAATTGCGTCATGGTTCTCTTTTTCTCACAGAGAGTGCCTAAATGACTCTACTATTCTCTGCAGTCGATAAAATAAATTAAAATAAACAACGCACATGCACGAAATTAAAAATATAAAATGGCGACGATTTACCCATCGCACCCTATATATATAGAAGGTTTTATTATTAGAAGGATTTGGTTGTACAATTAGATATATCCAAGTTCTTGTAAAATAGTTGTTAAATGTTTCTGTTTTTTGTGTTAGTTATGGTGAATGAATAAACTATTTGCAAGCGATAAATCTATCATTTAAAGGTAATATTAAACATTTGTGCAAAACTTATCTGCTCTGTGGCCTTCATTCCCGGAGCCGCACAAATCCACGTGCTCTCTTGGTGAGACGTCGTTAAAAACAGAATGGCTCTCTAAATTTCCCACCAGTCGGGCGGTTTCCTTTTTTTCTCGGGAATTATGGGAAATTAGTTTTTTTTTTTATTTCATTATTACAATTATTTGTTCCCCAAAATGGAAATTACTTATGACTCAGACTAATAATATCAACTGCTAAATATATTTCTATCCAAAACACAGATTTTAGACTATTAGTCATGTAGAATTTTTCATTGTGTTGGAAGTTAATTTAAAGAAATCGACAATTAACATCTGCTTATACAGAATTTTATTACCGTTTTAATGGCGCATACTCTCTGAATACATACTCCCTGAATACATACTCCCTGAATACATACTACCCGAATACATACTCTCTGAATACATACTCCCTGAATACATACTCTCTGGATTTCTGGACGAGGAGTTATCATTATTTACCTTATTTAGATGCGGACTATTATCCTAATCTTTGTTGTTGTTATCAAAACGTTTCGGCTGTTGTGCCTTCAGGACTTCATCAGGTGCTTGTCGATCCGAGCAAACTTCAGGGTATTTCGAAGTGAAACCTTTATTTAATCTACGGGGGTGAATAGTTCTCGTTCCGTTGCCATGCCCAGGGATATCTCGTTTAGTTCTGAATTTAGTACGATTCAGTTATTGCTCTGTCCGATTCCATTAGATCTAAGTTCAATCCCTGGGCCGTGCAGTGGGAACGGGGCGATCAAAAACTGAGCAGTACTAAAAATAAGAACTAGACGAGATATTCATAGTCATGGTCAGTGGAACGAATACAAAAGGTCCAGTTTGAAATCGATCGATAAGCACCTGATGAAGGCCAGGGCGAAATTTATTTGGTAAACTTTTAGTATAAAATATTAAATTATACCGTAAGCACTAAACTTAAAAAAAAATAAACCATCGCATTTGAAATTCATATATTACTATAAAAACTGTGTATATATTACACTAGCAGGTTTCGCAAAGTAAAATATATTCACTACTTGAAATCTTTGAAACAAAAATTTTAAATGAACATTTCATTCATAAATTGGCTTGTTACAGTTAAGTTTTACAAATAGATGCCAACTTGTTGAAGGCCAAGTAAAATGCAAATTTTAAACACTTTTCTGCACTATATAAGACGATATTCCTAAACAGAACTCACCCATGAAATAAAAATAATTGTTTGTACGAAAAAATAAAGATCTACGTACATCAAATTGTCTTTAAATTAAGTGGCAGCAGAAGAATTATCATTGAATTTTTAAAAGATATGATTAAACATTAATTCAATACTTAAATGCAGCAATCAATTTTAAGTTCTTCTGTAGTTTAGTGATGTCTATCGCATCTACTCCTCCCTAGCTATTGTGATGATAGCCAAACCAAGAGTTCTCCACATAAAAATTTAAGCTAACTTAAAATTTTAAGCTAGCTGCAATTTTGGATACAAAAGGAAAATAAGAGTTACTTCCCTTGAGCCGTGAAAGCAACGATAATGGCTAGTATAATATATTAATATATATTTTAAACCTCGCAAAATCTGGCAACCCTGAATCTGAGCTCAACGAAAATCGTTTCCTGCGCTTAACTTTTCGAGGGCTTTTGAATGAGCTATGAATCATTGAGTCGGACCAATGGGAGCGGAGGAGTTGCTTGGACACATAGACACGCACAAACACATACACGGTACTTTATATATAAGATTTTCAATTATCAATGAATGACTTATCCAGTAAACATACAATTAATGCAGCTGAGTAAGAATTAATCTTAGTAAGTAGATAATCTATTATTAACTAATCCTCATATCTCTGAATCTAATTTTAATCATAAAAGAAAAGCTGGGTCAATATCCGTCAAACACTGTCTGCCTGTGATTTTGTATGCGTTTATGTATATGTATATGTGTGTTCGTTGGGTATATAATAGCATCCGAAACAGAAGTGAAGATGATGAAACAAACTGAAAAATATATTAACGACGCATTTCGCCGGGGAACGTATGCTCTCTTTGGCTTCCTCAGGTTCGAATGAAAGAAAGACAAAACTGTGTGAGAAAAATGCTTCGGGTTCTTTGAGGATTTGTATGTTGTGCTGTATGTGAATGACTTACATATACTCGCACACACACAAATATGCACACAATTTGACACAAAATTGAAATAAGATATTTGAATCTGAATAATACATTCCCCTATTACTCAGTCTGGACAAACCCTACCCTGATCTGAGGAATAAAATCATAAATTTGGAAACAAAAAAAAAAAAAAAAAATTAAGAAAAAATTAACAGCTTCCTATCTGTTAAACTGTTTCTTTTTAAAATAAATAATAAAACAATCAACTTTTCTTTCTCTTACCTACATGAGGGGAGAGTTTTAGTATTTAGTCTGACAAGAAACCTTGGGCAACAGGAAAATGCGCACCGAAATCCGAGGCGGCATTGAAATAGGGAAATATGCGAATTCAGGTATTAAGAAACAGGAAAATTCCGTTGAAAACAAAGAAAAGATTGCTGAAATGTTATGTAACATCGGTCCTCCAATATGGCAGTGAATTCTAGAGAGCTTCCTCACAGATGAAGAAGAGACTCGAAGCAACAAGAATGTGGTTCTACAGAAGGATGCTGAAAATACCATGGATAGAACATGTGAGCAACGACGAAGCTTTAGAGAAAATGGAAACAAGGAGGACGTTTATACTTAGAATCAGAAAGAAAGAGTTGACATATCTAGGGCACATAATGAGGAAAGAGTGCTTGGAGAATCTGAGACTCATAAGACATATTGAAGGCAGCAGAGACAGAGGAAAGCAGCCAATCACATACCTAACGAGCTTGTATGAATAGTTGGCAGTACAGAGATTAACAAATATAGCAAAAAGACAAATCTTACTAAGAGCTACAAAGGACAGGAGGTTGTGGAGAGCCATGATCTCCTACGTCCTGAAGGGACATGACACGAAGAAGAAGAAGAAGAAGAAAAGATAATAAGTTTATATTGAAAGATTGTTAACGAGTTAATTTGTCAGTGTTTTCAGCAGATTGTTTAAAATCGAATTAACCCCAAGCAAGGCGGTAAAGCCACTAAGACACAAGGGGTTACTGGGTGTGGAAAAATTAGAAAACAGAAACATTACTAAGGAACAAGAGCAATAGAAGAGTAATCAGGAAGACAGTGGATAACGATTGACATTGCATTTAAATTTTGACGATTAAAGAAGCCGGAAAGCAAGAAGCCGGAAAGCATGGAGCCGGAAGAGAGTTTCACATGCAGGAAGTGCGAGAAAAGAAACGGCATAGAATTTATCGTTACATCTAACCAACTCAACTGTAAATTGATGAGCCCTTGTTATCAGTCTTGTACTGCGCTTAAATTCATATAGTCTATGTACCATAGAGAAGAGTGATATTTATTTGTAAAAATACAAAATGTTGTACAAGGCCAAAAAGGGGAATGGGGGAAAAGGACGGTCTTGATCTGTCTTAACATTAAACTTAGCTAGCCACAAACACTGACCCAAATATACCACAATAGAGAAGAGCTCATCCAAACAATCACCATGAAAGAATTTATAGAGAAGGCACACGGAGAGGC